TTTAATTGAAATAAAAAAAATAAAATTCTTCCTTATCCAAAATAAATTTCCCCTTAGAAATAATGAAGTATTCATTTATTATTTATTAGATACATTAATTAAAAAAATATTAAATTAGTTTAATTATTAATATTTCTTTGAATAAGATTTTTTGTATTAGCAATTATTATTTAAATATATGATTTTTATTATTACCTTGTTTAATTTAACGTGCAAAGCCTAAGTAATGACTAGATTGAACTATAGCAACTAGAATTAAATGAATAATATTTAAATTAATGAGGAAGATTATTCAATCTCAAAGTTTTTTACTGATGGTATTTGGTCTAAATATAATCCATTAAGTAAAATAAAATAGAATGGGCTTTATGGATTATTAGATAGTAATTGCTATTAGCTTCATAATGCAATTGATTTCGAATAGTAAACTCTAAATCTGATTTATTATGATTTTTTAGATTATGAATATCTATAACTAAGATAATTTAATTTATTGGCAATGATAATAGACAACATATATTTGAGATAAATATTGGAGAATATGAATATGAGAATATTTGGTATTATTTATAAATTTAAGCATGGCCATAGTTGAATATATTAGATTTAATAATAGCAAAATATTAAGATATTGTATTAAGAAAATAAATATAGATAAAATATCCTTTTATGGATAGTAATTTGATTTTAACTTTTGGGAGGTAGCTTTAAAATAATAAATTCAAAAATTACAGAGATTTATTAAGGAACTGTATTTTCATCATTTCCTGGTTAGATTAGTTTTCAATTGAATATATAACCTAATTTTGATCCTGGTATTTATAAATTAAGCTTTTCAAAATATTAATGTTTAAATTTGTGAAAAAGGTGAAGATAATATAAAAATTTAAGATTAGAATATAAATTATTTGGTTAAATATGCATATATTTCAGAATAAATTAATTGTGACATTTTCATTTTAATATTACAATTTAAAATTATTGAAATAGTATCAATGGATTAAGAATATAAATTTTAAATTATTAAACTAGGTCCAAATTTAGATAGTGAAGTTTATTAAAATGACAATTTAGCAGCCTTTTAATTATATTATTTAATCTCTGAAAATACGTTTAAAATCTTTATAACAATATATAATTACATGTTACCTGGTATTAATATTAATTTTGAGAACAATCCCTTTTTAATATAAAAAGAATATTTAATTTGCTCAAAACCTTATTAATAATTGGCATTACTTATTTGTTAAATTAAAATCTAATTAATTATATATTTCAATAATATTTTATTAAAATGATAATAATTTTGAAATTAATGATGAGATTGAGGTTATTTAATTTACAAATGTATAATTTAAATTTTAATATGGTAATATCTAGTAGCAAGATTAGAACTATTTAATTTTTAAAGTTAATAATTTAATTTTATATAATTGTGAAACAAATATTAATAAATAGGGTTGTCATTTTAGTTATAAAGAATGTGATGGTCCACTTAACTCAAATTGTTTGTCTTGTCATGAAGATTCATAAAGGATTTATTTATCTGAATATAAAGATTGTATTTGTCCTTCTTATTCAATTTGATAAAGTTGAGAAATGCTTTACAGATAAAAATTAAAAATTTTCAATAATCGAATAAAATAATGATGATATCAATAAAAATTGTAAATAAGGCTTTTATGAACTTGATGGAGAATTTTATAAATGGTAGATATTATAGTTAATAATAATAGTCCTTCAATAATTAATGAGAATAGTATAAGTTGTTATGAATGTTATAAAAATCCATAAGAATGGAGTTCTAATCCAAATTGTGATATGGATCTTTATTTAAAAGCATCAGGGACTGTAGAAGATACTATGATTAGAACTGATAGCTTTCTTTATAAATTTGATGGAATAGATTTAAATTTTTTTTATTATTATTGTTAGTAAATAAAAGAAATTTAAAATGAGGAGGGTAATTACAATTTATATTAATATTTATATTTTGGATTTATAAACTTCTGTTAAATTGAAGAGATAAGAATGAATTCTAAATAATGTTATGTTTGTAAAATAGATTTTTGTCAAGATTGTTATATAACTTGATAAGGAATAAAATTTTTAAGATGTATAGATAGTTACTAATTTTTTAATGGAAAATGTATAATATTCACCATTATAAGCTACTCTTTTACCACTATAAAATCCTTCATCAACCCATAAACCTTACTTTAAGCTATCTTAATTATAAAACCCTCCACCACTAAACATTAAAAATAATTACATCTTGGCATCTTAAAAATATAATACCATTTACCAATTCTTAAGTTATTGTAATATTCTCCAGTTTCGAAAACATTTCCTTACCTATTCATATGAACATATATTTAAAACAGACTTATAATAATTAAGGAAAAGATCTTTCCATTAACCTTGTTTTTAGCCATTTTTATTTTTTAGAAAAAGAACCATATTTAAGATATGTTATATAATATCTAAAATATAAATAGTAATCAAGAACAAAGCATTTCCTCTACTGCTTAAAGAACTGAATTTTTTAAGGTTGATAATTAAATATAAATAGGTATGAGCACTGGATTATCAATTTTTTAATTAATCTCATGTAATTTCCAAATAAATTCTTCCTTTTTTTTTGTTGTTGTATTTTTGCAGACGCAGCTATTATCCATGTATTAGAATAACTGTTTTTTCTGAAAATAAAAACTCATTCTCTTCACCTCCTTTATCGTCTAATTAGACTACGTTCATCAAATTACTTTATTCATTTTTCGCTTTATCTTAAGTTTTTTTTGGCACATAGATGGATTTAAGATTTTTCTTTGCTGCTTCTTTGCTGCTTCTTTCAATACTTTCCATTTTCTGATTTCAAACAGTTATTCAACATTTTCCTTTCAAAAATTTAATGTCGCTCCCCATACTATTGAGTCACTCTTTCATTTCATTAATTTTTCTATCAGCTCCCTTTCTGATAGGATTAACGAAATCAGTTATCAATCATAGTTATTAGCCCATTCATCTAATATTTCCTATATATTCATCTAATTCCTAAGTTGTTTCATCCAACTCTTTTAGCTGTAAATCATGTTAATTGAGGTTAGCCTCATGACTAATTTATTCTTATAATTCATCTATTCTCATCAACATTTACAACATTTCACATGATAATCTATCATACTAATACTTCCAATCTTACTTCAAATTCTACATATTCATTAGAGAAATTAGTAATTTTTCAAGTAGTTTTTGCAATAATTCCTTCTCTTCATTTATTTTTGATTATTATAATTTTACAACCTTAATCATAAATAATAAATAAGTGTTCCAACTATTGTTGCTGCAAAAATTAAAATTTATACCATGTAATTTATCAGCACGACCATTATCTTTTTCACAAATTTCTTTATTTTCCACCTATTTTACTATTTATTCAGACGCTTTAATTTCTTTATTTTAATCACTTTTTTAATTGACTGTTTATTAATCTTTGTCTCTTATTATATTTTCTTAATTTATCAGCTCTTCTTTCAATAAAATTAAAGAAATGTCCTTATTCCCAAATGTTTCGATTGTTTTGATTACTATTTTTAGTTTGAGGTGCTAATTAAAAACAACACCCAAAATTAATATAATTTAACTTTTAATATTTGATTAATTCATATAAAAAATGTTGATATTTTTCTTTCCAAAACCTAATTTTTGAAACAGAAAAATTAAATTGTTTATCTCCTACATTTTGTACTAAATCATTAAAAGATAGACCTTCAATAATCTTATCCATATTCTTTTAGAAATGAGATTCTTCAATTAATAAATCTCCTAATTACTTCTCAATTAACTATAAATCTAATTCTTCTGAGGAAAGGACAACTTTTAATTCAGAGATAGCCACTTTTTCATTTTTAGTTAAAATTATCTTTTTGGGTAATCTTTAATTAGCTTATAAAGAAATTCATCAAGATTTATAAACTCTTATAAAATTTACAATTCTTATGGGCAAGTTTATCCTAATATAGTTTAGAATGTCTTTTTGTAGTATCTAATTTTCAATTTAGTTTTAGATCTTTGAAACTTAAGTTTTATACATAATTTGTTAATCCTTTAATCTCTTTAAGATTTTCAATCGATTTCATACTTGATTTGGAAAATTTCCTTAATTAATCACATGAATTTATTAACATCATTTATCAACTGGCTCTGAAAGAATTCAATTATATTATTTTTTTTTGAAGTGAAGTGATTTCAATCTTTTCTAATAAATCGGAGTGTTTCCAAGAATTTTTAATTGACTAAATCAGATTTGAAGATATTTTTAAAAAGTTTTTTTTTATCCAGAGAAGCAGCCAATAAATCAGAAAGTTTATTTTTCAAATTATCAAACCACGAACTTCATAATTTGAGCTTCATTAATTCTTTTTAAATATGCACCTTTTTATCAATGTCCCGATTTAGACTGTTAATGATTTGACTCATCTTTAAATCCATGAATTTATGATTATAATATTGATTCAAACACTATCATGAAATATTTTAATTATTATAAATTATTGAATTCGATAATTCTTATCCTATTTAAGTTATTCTCCCTGACAATTTTATTTTCTTTAGTTAAGCCCATTAAGTTTAAGGATAATTGGTGTATTTTGGACATATTCTTTTTTAAGTTGAGAATTATCTGATTTATTTATTAATTTTACACTGTATTACATCCTCTCATTAAATTTTGTATAAGATTCATTTATAATGAATAAATTAATTCTGTTTTATATATCATTATTGCTTATTGTTTCAGATTATTTGAGCTATAACCAAAAAATGTATTGGTTTAAATACTAGCTTGATTATTATGATAAATTAAATCTATAAATAAATTCGCTCGAACTAATAATGAATATAGTATAAATCTTAATAAAATTTATGTTAAAAGTTTTCTCTTAACTAAATAATAATTTGCCATATATGATAAAAAAATTATCGTAAAACCTTTTTTGATATTTGCCTGCATGATGCCTGATTAAAAATAATATGAATATAAAGTTAATTTAAAAAAATTGTTTATTCTATTAAAAATATTTATTATGCTTGGGTTTAAATTTTAGTAATGCCATTATTATTCTTATAATAATCTCAATGAGTTATTATAACAACTTTAGAATGATAAGTTTGGAGATACTCAGATAGATTAAGAACAATAGATGATTGAGTATTTTATTGATAGATCTAGATGTCTAAGATTATATGATCTAATATACTCAATAGTAAGAATATTATTTGATTAACATAGAAAGTTAAATTTATAAAATTTCATTTAGGATAACTATTGGTCCTTTTTAAAGAAATATTGGAAAAAATTATAGAAATGGAGAAGTTACAATTGGAACACGACTATTTAGATCAGACCAGAATATGGATTACTTTAGAACAAAAAAGCCCACCTTTAAATATAATATATCAGAAAATTCAATACAAAATAAATTTTACAGGTTATTAATGTAAATTATATGAAATTAATATGGATGAAACATTAAAGGCATCTGAAAAAATATTAATAATAATTTCTAATATTTTGAGAGACTTTAAGGCATCAGAAATCACTTGCACTAATGATAATAACAACTTACAAGAAATTATTAATGAAATTTATGAACCAATAATTTAGTAATGTTTGAAACGTAAAATAAATGAAACAATTACTGTAATAAATCACCTTTTGAATTAATATTAATTTGAAAATAAATCTCAAACTATTAGCTTTGATGATAAATACTTTGATTTTTATACTAATACTATAAGAAGTATTAGAATGAATGATGTTGAATAAGAGTTGAATGATTGCATTTAAAATTATGGATAATATGGAGAAGAATTAGAATCAATATTATTGCTAAAAGTAAAGAGTATAGGTTAAAATTTGGATAATTTCTTTAATAAGAAAATAGAGAATTAGGAAATTGATAAGTTATTAGATGAAAAGAAAAAGAATACATAAGAAAATAATGAATAATTAATATTCTTCATTCAAACATTATCTAATTTTTCAATTGAAAATAATTTAAAGGAATACAAATTTGAAATTTCTCCAGCTGAAGAAAAATAATTTTAGATAACATTTAAGCTCGAGTAAGAAATTAAAAAATATTTAAATATTTTCAAAACTTTCCTACTGTTTTAATCTAAAATAGATGCGCGTTTTAGGATAATTTTAGGTTGACTTTTTAAAATTTAATAAAAGAAATTTCAGAAGAGGAAGTAAAGTTATATGTTGAGTTATTAATTTTAATATTAATTGATGAATTAATTTGAAATGAGGAATAAAATGATACAATATATTAACATTAAATATTATCATTTAACTTCTTATTTATAAAAATACTTTATAAGAATTTTTAAAGGTTTTAAATATATGTCATTAATTTGACTTAACACTAGATGGTTAATCAAAATAATAATTGAATATTTTTTCTTAAATTGTTAACTTATTATTACAAATCCATTTGATTAAATTTTAGTGATAGAAATTTTAATACCATCTAAACTTAGGAAGGGTAGAATTACAATACTGCTATAGCAAACTTTATAATTATAGTGGTACTTAGATATTCTGAAAATAAATTTCACAACTTATTGATTTATTTGGAGGATTATTAAACAATTAGTTTATATCTAAAGGTGATGGTATTTAATTTTAATCCTTCTACAATATTTTTATCTATTGATGGATAAGGAGTACTAGTGAATTAAAAAAAATTAAGATTTCATGTCCTTAAAGATTGTCTTTTTTGTAAATGTGTAAGATTTTTAGAATATCAAGCTACTTAAAGACCAGTAGAAATAGATGTAAGTTTGATTTTAATTAAGTCAATTAATTACAAACACTCTCAAGGAATGAAAAAGAATGAATATTTTATTGATTTTCTTGATTATATTTATTATAGAATTCATTTATATTTATATTCAAACAAATGTATTATATTTAATTACAAATTTCGTTTAAACTAAGATTATTACAATCAATTTAGATACATGGGCCATATTAAAACTTAATAAATTCATTAAATTATTGGAAACCAATTATATTAAAAATGGCTTTAATAGGATTATGAAATAATAGAATATAAGTAGCATTCAATACAAAATAGGTGTAAGAGTTGTGATTAAGTTTTAATAATAAAATATGCATTTCATTGTGTGGCGATGGTTTTACATAACTATAGGAAATATGTGATGATAAGAATATAATATAATTTCATGATGTTAGAAATGTTAGAATAGTTGTTAACTAGAATGCTAATATAGATAAGAGTTGTTTTGCTTGTAGGCTTTTTTTGGATTATGGATGTTATCAAACTTGTGATGATGGTTTTCTTGCTTTTGTTTCTAATGAACAACGCAATTATGGTAACTATGAGCCTAATAATGGCTGTTATAAATGTAAATTTTAATTTGATGAAAATTGTTTTTCATGTGCAACTTTAGATATTGGTAAAACTTGTTATGAATATTTTGAAGAGTATAATGGAAAATGTGGACCAATATATGAAGATGATTAATTAATTCCAGGGTTAGAGGATTGAAAAGATGGAAATTAGTAATAATATGATAGTTGCTATAAATGTTAAGTTTCATGTGATTCAAATTATTATTAAGATAAAAATGTTTGGAAGAAGGAAAATGTGGTTAACAATAAATATTGGCTATTACATAACAAGTGATGGTAATCATAATGTATAAGAGATGGAAACCATTACATAGAAATAGATGAATAAAGTTCATACAAGAAATAAACATCATGTGTTAAAATTGATGCGGGTAATTAAGTTTTCGAGATTCAACAAATTTTGCATGTTTAGAGAGAAATATTTGTGATAAATTACCAGATACATTCATAAGATATAAATAATGTTGAAGTTTGATTTCTACGGACATACTAAAAGTGGAGGTGGATGCAGTTAAATTGGAAATAATTACAATGCTTAATAGTCAGAAATTTAATGTTTTTTGAGTTTAAATAAAACATTTGAATGTTATTGGGATTGAATTACTTATAGAATTGTTAATAATGCTCCAATAATTATTNCTCTCAAGGAATGAAAAAGAATGAATATTTTATTGATTTTCTTGATTATATTTATTATAGAATTCATTTATATTTATATTCAAACAAATGTATTATATTTAATTACAAATTTCGTTTAAACTAAGATTATTACAATCAATTTAGATACATGGGCCATATTAAAACTTAATAAATTCATTAAATTATTGGAAACCAATTATATTAAAAATGGCTTTAATAGGATTATGAAATAATAGAATATAAGTAGCATTCAATACAAAATAGGTGTAAGAGTTGTGATTAAGTTTTAATAATAAAATATGCATTTCATTGTGTGGCGATGGTTTTACATAACTATAGGAAATATGTGATGATAAGAATATAATATAATTTCATGATGTTAGAAATGTTAGAATAGTTGTTAACTAGAATGCTAATATAGATAAGAGTTGTTTTGCTTGTAGGCTTTTTTTGGATTATGGATGTTATCAAACTTGTGATGATGGTTTTCTTGCTTTTGTTTCTAATGAACAACGCAATTATGGTAACTATGAGCCTAATAATGGCTGTTATAAATGTAAATTTTAATTTGATGAAAATTGTTTTTCATGTGCAACTTTAGATATTGGTAAAACTTGTTATGAATATTTTGAAGAGTATAATGGAAAATGTGGACCAATATATGAAGATGATTAATTAATTCCAGGGTTAGAGGATTGAAAAGATGGAAATTAGTAATAATATGATAGTTGCTATAAATGTTAAGTTTCATGTGATTCAAATTATTATTAAGATAAAAATGTTTGGAAGAAGGAAAATGTGGTTAACAATAAATATTGGCTATTACATAACAAGTGATGGTAATCATAATGTATAAGAGATGGAAACCATTACATAGAAATAGATGAATAAAGTTCATACAAGAAATAAACATCATGTGTTAAAATTGATGCGGGTAATTAAGTTTTCGAGATTCAACAAATTTTGCATGTTTAGAGAGAAATATTTGTGATAAATTACCAGATACATTCATAAGATATAAATAATGTTGAAGTTTGATTTCTACGGACATACTAAAAGTGGAGGTGGATGCAGTTAAATTGGAAATAATTACAATGCTTAATAGTCAGAAATTTAATGTTTTTTGAGTTTAAATAAAACATTTGAATGTTATTGGGATTGAATTACTTATAGAATTGTTAATAATGCTCCAATAATTATTATAACAAAAGATTCATGTAAATTATTGAGATTCGATTGTACATATACAATTAAAGCCAATAGAGGATGTATAACTAGAACTACTTGTTCAATTGCATTAATTGGAGAAGCTTGTACTAAAGATATCTTATGTAATGAATGCTTTTAAAAGGAGTAATTTTTGTTTGATAAACACATGATAATTTTAAATACAAATGATAACTTCTGATTGTGATAAATTTAAAGGAAGATATATGACTAAATTATATGGAGGCTGAGTAGCAAATGGATCGTTTTCAGCAGCAAATATTGAAGTAGCCTGTGTTAACAGTTTAATTGGGATCCCTTATTTTATGGATTCAAAATATAAAGAGAAGACCTTTACTAATGTATCAATATTACATACTATTAATGATTCATGTTTGTGTTTTAACTCCATCATTTAAAAATACTTATGATTGCCAAATTTATCGTTCTAGTTGTATTATAAGTAATACAGGTTTAGGATGTGTTACTCTTCCAATTAAATGAGAAATATTTAGTAGATAGAGCTTCTTAAATTACTATTGAAGGATAATTTGTGGTTGGATGGATCTTCTTGTATTTCAAATCTTATTTAACTGCTTCAAAATGCTTACAACTGCTTTATGATGCGAAGAATACCTCTCATTATGTTTTGCTTATAATTCAGCTATTGTAGATGCAAAATCAATTATATAAGGATGTCAAGATTTACATATGTTTTGTGCATCAAGAAAGCGTAAAAAAATTGTGAAATAACAAGTGCTGGATATCCAACTTGCACGTGAATATTCTTAGTCAACTAATATTGAAAAATCTTTTGCAGCAGCTAATAATAATTGAACAACTAAATAAAAAAAATAATTTTAATTTATTATTTGTTAAAACTATTTAAGCATTTGCACAAAAACTAATACTTAGGGTATTTGCATTAGAACTTAATAACCTTGCATTTCAAATAACTTTTAAGATGGATGCTTGATTTAACCTTTAATATAAGGAGATTATTATTGAAATGAAACTAGTTGTGTTGATAGAATATATACTAATATTATAAAAACAACTCATCATGATTGTTATAGTACATTAAATCAATTCAAAGTGAATAATGGAAGGACGAATTGTTAACCACCGCAAAATACATGTACTTCTTATACAACTTAATTAAGAAAATTGAAAAATTACATCAATAAATAAAACTTATATTTGGACTGAAATTGCATGTAGAAGCGCTACTTGTGCAGATGTTTCTTAAACTATATTATATGATACAGATTAACTGCCTGTACTAATTATCTAACATAAGCACAATGCCATTAAACTATCTAAATGTAAAAGGAATCGATGATTCTAAATAAATAATTGATAAATTTTATTCATTATCAATATTTGCTACAGAACTTTGTTCTACTTTTAAAGAAATATTAGAAATATTCCATTAATATGGATAAAGATGGGCTGATAGTTTATATGATTCGATTTTTTCTTTATGTAATTTAGATTGAACTCTCAAAACTGTAAATAATTTAACGTTCTCAGAAGGAAAGCTGTTGATTTAATTTGTTCAGTAAAGATTATTCATAACACACGTTCCTTTTGTAGATCTAAAAAAATTGATTGATAATTATCCATATCCTTAGCAAGAAGATTATATTATATCTGTTTTTTCTCTTGTTAATCTGTTGCTTGAGCGACTTTTATTCCATAATTGCCTGAATATTCCAATATATAGAAATAAATAACTGTTTTTATTCTGCAAAAGGTCTATGTATCATAAGTTCAAATAATTTTATAACATGTATTCCAGCTTAAACTTGTGATAAATAGTTCTTATAATGGATGTATATAAATGAAGTAAAAATAATCAGATTAGAATCAGACTCAACGTCTTAGTATATAGAGGGGGAATGTATTTTGGATAATTCTATTTGTGTCTAGAAAACTTGAGGGTACCCAAATATATAATAATTTTAATACTGATAGCAAATGTTCAAAATTTTTTTAAAATGTACTGTTGTTAAAATAGGAGGGTGTTAATCTTAAAATAATTGTTCTGGATTTCGCAAATTTTTCAGTGTGTGTAGAATTGATCCTTTAAAATTAATATTTTTCCTAAAATTTTTGAAATTAATAATCTAAATAAGATTTGTTTTAATACTAGGAACTAGATATCTCACTCTATGACATATCTTCTATAATTGATGAGGATTTTATTTTAGTGGATTTAAAAATAAAAGTCTTACATCTAATGAAATTATTTGTTACAATTGAGAAGCTTTACTAAATTTTTTAAATTCTACAGAGGACTGTAATATGTGTAAGGCAAAAAACCAAACAGGTTAGTTGATAGAAAGAATTTTAAAAACTATTGAAGTAGATTCAGCTCGTGAAATTCATTAGGAAATAATCTTAAAACTATATAGGTAATAGATCATTAAGTTTATATGATTAATGCTATTGAAGTATAAGAAATTTAGATTTACCAAAATGTCTAATAAATTAAATCAAATGTTAAATTTACAAATGAATCTGTCTGAACTTATTCTTTTATTCATTCTCCTGAAGCATTGGTTGGGACATTGAATTTAATATGATAAAGAAAGTTACCTCAATTTCTTATTTCAATTTATTGTAAACAGAACATAATAAATATTTTTAATAATCTCTTCACTAATTATTGTTATATTATATTAATCTAAGCTTAATCAGACTATAAAATCTATTTTTAAACTTTCTGATTTTATTTTGTATATTCTAAATCTTAATCTTTTTCTTATATTTTTATTATGTTCTAAATATATCAAAAGAATTAGTTTATATTTCTAATAATTTAAATTTCTTTTTCTAATTCTTTAATTTACCATCCTTATTCTAATTCTTCTTTTTCTTATCTGCTACGATAAATTTTGCAATCATTAATACACAAATATTTAGATATAAGAAGAGGATTATTTTGGTTAAGTACGATACCACTATAAAATAACTTCTCAATACTCTTTCTCTACCGTCAAAGGAACAATCGAAATTTGAGGGGTTAGCTAATTTCATTTTAAACTAGAACTTCATATATTTGAGCTTTAAAGTAAAGTAAGTTCTTATGATTTACTTTACAGGCTAATATTGCTGTGATAAGATCTTTTTATACTATTATTTGATGAATATTCATAAAGTACATATTATATTATACTTTAAAAGCCTTCATATATACCCTAAATAAGTTTAATGAAAGGTATAGGAATATTAAACTGATTATAATGTTATTCTCGTTTAGCACTAAATAAATTATTTAAAGTTAACATATATAAGATGAAGATACACCAAATATTTTTTGTGGTTCATTATATTAATTACTAGTTTCAACAATTATTTTAATTAATTAAAAAAATAAAAATAAAAATTATTTGGTTGGGCGTCCGGGAGAAGAGAAAATGAAGATGGAGATTCCGAAGAAAGAAACGCAGAGGATCATCAGGTCACTTCGGAATCTCCACTACCTCAACCGGGTTTGGGTTTGGGAATATACAATAGCAAGGTGTAAAGAAATGAATATGAAATACTTGAATATTATGTGTTTAATTTAATTAATTAATATTTTTTGAAAAATTATGGATACTTTACCTGAGTCTATTGCAAAGAGTGAAGATGTGTATTATATTTGTGTAACCAAACTTTGGCAATGTAGCATCAATATTCTGACTACAGAAAAAAATAATAATGGCACTGCGACATAAACTCAAAAACATATATTAGGTGATTAATACAAAAGTTGGTATAACGGAAAGATACTTTGAACGAATATATTAATTTCAACAAAATATTTAGTTATAACTATCTTCTGTACAAGTATATCTGCCATAAAAATAAAAAATTTACAAAATTAATGGTATTCTTAGACTCTAATTTTGAGTTTGAAATATATACCCATAATCAAATTTTTTAAACAGTAAAGGGAGATTTTATCAGTTATATTTTTCTTAGATTTTCATTGTTTTCATAGAAATTTTTTATCATTGCTTTTCTATTTTGGCTACTCGTTGAGATCAATTTCCTAATGATCTAATATATCAGAAGAATCAAAATGAGTGATTTCCTTTACTCTTTTTATTGTAAATATTGATATTGTTCTTTTATGTATAAACAAATGCTTTATCAAATACATTTTCATATATCATGTATTATTAATTAATTTATCTTTAATGGTTCTTAAGAACTTAGATGTTTTATTTTCTTAATATTGATTAAATCTAATTTTAAGAATTTTCTAATTGTTATAGATCAGTAACATAGTAAGCATAATAAGTTTGAAATAGTTTAATTTTTAAATTTTCCTTAGAAAACCAATCTTGTCTATCAGTGCTATTTTTACAAATAGATAGAAAGTCTTTATTCTAAAAATATTTTCTTGTCTAGAGAGCTATTTCTATATCAAATTAAAGTAGTTTGATCATACAACTATCCAATCTTTAAAAAATTTTCTCTTATTAAGTTAGATTATGATTTGTATTTTAGGTTTTTTTTACGGAATTAAATTGGTAGTAAAATCTTTATTAAACTAGCTAAAGTTAATGTAAAATTAGATATTTGGGTCTATTTTACTTTTAGATATTATAACTGTTGGTTGTTCCCATTAAGATAAGCCATTTCAATAATAAAGAAGTAAAGTAATTATTATTTATCTGAAAAATGAATTAATATTTATTAAATACCAAGCAGTTTATATATATAAATAATAAAATTTTACATAATTCACTTTCGTGTTTGTTAATTTTGTCTATACTTTAAATAGACTGAATCTGTTGACAATGAGCAATTTAACAGAATGAGTGTATCTTTTAAGGTTAAATTGCTCCTTATAAATATAGTTAATTGGAATACACATCATTTCAAAGATACAAGATCAAAGAGAAATTTTTTAAATTGTCTTTTTAAACTCACATTCTGACATTTTAGAAAATCAACTAATATTTGGAATTTCTAATATAGAGGCAAAGAGAAACTTTAAAGCTCCAATTATTTGAATCTTTTCAAAAATTCACTATTTTTCATACGCTCATTCTATTAAACATTTGATAACAATAATTAGCTTTCTAAATTCTCCTAAATCCAAAACTATCCAACAGAATATGGTAATGGAATATTCATTTCAAATAAATATGATATAAGTGAGCTTTTATCAAAAATATAAAAATAATATTCAAAATTTAGTAAATCAATTCATTTAATGGATAAAAATCTTTATAGAAATGATTTATTAGTTAAGTTTTTTTAATCTTTTTTAATTTTGAAAATATCTCTTATCATTGTATAATATAAATTTAAAAAAAGCAATGTAATTTTTATAAGTAAAGTCAATAGTATCAGGAGCATCAGAGTTATCAAATATATTTTTAATATTTTAGTGTGTTAGAAAAAGCCTGTGATTAAGATTGTAAAAAATTGTTTAAAATGGAATGAAATCGAAAAAATATTAAGAGGGAAAATCAAATTTTTAAATTAAATTAATAATTAATACAACTTTCTTCTCTTTTTAAATAGTAAGGATAGTCTACTGTAATATTAAAAAAACCTTAAAGTGAAATTAAATCATATACTATAAATATAGAAGTATTAATTTTTCCTTGTGTTTAATTTGTACAAATTAATTTGATGGTAATTAATTGATTCTATACTTTAAGAAATCATTTATTGAATCTAAGTATTCTTTTACACGATAAAAAAAGGATATTGCACAAGATTCATCACCTGAAATTTATTCTATTGTATAAAAAAGATGAAATCAATAAAGAACAATTTAGAGAATAAAAATACTTTTCACTTAATCTTGTATGGAGGAATCTGTGTATTTTAAGGATTATGCATTTCTATTTTTTCATTTTCTTCAAAAGATACCTGTGTGTAGAAATAAATGATATTTGTAATTTAATTTAAATAAATATTAAAGCTACAAAAGAATTATTAATTTATTTTTATATTATATTACATTAATTAGCAAATTCTTTTTACACTTTTTTGATAAGACTTCAAATGATGTATAAATAGTATTTTAGTATTATGAAAAATTTTAAATTGCCGTATGAACATTAATTAACCAAAAATCAATCAGCCCATTTAATGCATTTGATTATTATTGAAAAGGAGATTATCTATTAGAGTCGTTTTTACAAACACAACTCTTAGATCAATAAAGATAGATATTATATAATGTTTCAAATTTACATATGTAATAAAATTTTTTGATTAAAAAAATTATTTAATTAACAGAATTATCATAGTTAATTCATCCGTTTGGTTTATTTTACTAACATGTATATGAACCGTCTACTCTTATTCATTATTCTAATTGAAAATGATAAAAATAATCAGAAAACTCTTCTTTCAAATCAACCAATTAATAG